GGGGGGGGGGGGGGGGGGGGGGGCGCGGGGCCCTAACAACAATGATGGATGCAACCAAAAAATAGCCGGGCATTGTGGTGGGTGCCTGTGGTCCCAGCTACTTGGGAGGCAAGGGCAGGAGACTCGCTTGAGCCCAGGATTTGGAGGTTGCTGTGAGGTGTGATGCCACAGCACTCTACCCAGGGGGACAGCTTGAGGCTCTGTCTCAAAAAAAAAGAAAAATGATATCCTCTAATACCATAACAGCTGGGTACTTTGACACCTCTCTCTAAACAGAAAGTAAACAAAGAAACAAGGAACTGAAACTCCACCTAGAACAACTATGCTTAATAGACATATACAGAATGTACCATCCCAAAGCCAGGGAATATACATTCTTTTTGATAGCCCATGGAACATACTTCAAAGTAGATCAAATCTCAACAAAATTAAAAGAATTGAAATTATACCTTGTATCTTTTTAGACCACAAGGCAATAAAGGTGGAACTCAAATCCAATAAAAATTTTCATCCCCACTCAAAGGAATGGAAACTAAACAACCTTATGCTGAATGACAGTTGGGTCAAGGAGGAGATAACAGGGGAAAATATCAAATTCCTTGAACATAACAACAACAAAGCTATAAGCTACCTAAACTTGTGGGATACTGCAAAAGCAGTCTTACAAGAGAAATTTATCACATTAGATGCCTACATGTGAAAAAAAGAGAGCACATCAACAATCTAACAAAGGCTCGGCACCAGTAGATCAGTGGTTAGGGCGCTGGCCACATACATTGGAGCTGGCAGGTTCAAATCTGGCCCAGGCCTGTTGTACAATGATGACAACTACAACAAAAAGAATGGCCAGGCGTTGTGGCAAGTGCCTGTAGACTCAGCTATGTGGGAGGCTGAGGCAGGAGAATCACTTAAGCCTGGGAGTTTGAGGTTGCTATGAGCTGTGATGCCACAGCACATTACTGAGGGCAACATAGTGAGACTCTGTCTCAAAAAACAAACAAAACAAACAACAACAACAACAAAAACAACCTAAAGAAGCATCTCAAAGAAATGAAAAAGAAAGAGCAATCTAATCCCAAACCTAGCAGAAGAAAATAAATAATCAAAATTAAATCAGAAATAAATAAAATGGAAAACAAAAGAATGATTCAGAAAATTAATGAAACAAAAATTTGGTATTTTGAAAAGATAAACACAAAAATTGATAAACCTTTAGCCAGATTAACTAGAAACAGAAAAGATTTCTAATAATCTCAATCAGAAATGAAAAAGGGGCAATATCAGATACCATAGAGAAGTAATAGATTATCTCTGACTACTACAAGAAACTCTTTTTCTAGAAATTTGACAATGTGGAGGAAATGGACCACTATCTGGAATCATACCATCTCCCTACACTTAACCAGGAAGAAACAAATCTCTTGAATAGACCACCATCAACAGCTGAAATTGAAGAAACAATAAAAAAGCTTCTAACAACAACAAAAAAATCCTTGTACCAGATGGCTTCACACCAGAATTATATCAAACCTTCAAAGAAGAGCTTGTCCTATACTGCAGAACCTATTCCAAAACACTGAGAAGGAAGGAAGCTTCCCCAACATGTTCTATGAAACAAACATCACCTTGATTCCAAAACCAGGAAAGGAACCAACTAAAAAGGAGAACAAGTTTCACTGATGAATGTCGATGCAAAAATGCTCAATAAAATTTTAGCAAAGAGATTATAGCTGCACATTAAAAAAATTACACATCATGGTCAAGTAGGGTTTATCCCAGGAATGCAAGATTGGTTTAACATACACAAATCCACAAATGTAATACATCATATCAATAGAAGCAAAAACAAAGATCATATTATCCTCTCATAGATGCAG